AGCCACACCACAAATTAGGCCATGCCCACAGAACCGGTTGTTAAGAAATTTGAATCCCACCCCTGGATATATTACACTGACTTTTTCTTAAACTTTCACTGAAACAAGTTTAGTTCTACTGGATCATGCTGTCTTCCATTACTGAGAAACTTCTATTATTCTTGATGAAAGCCACTACTAGTTTAGTTTAGATTTTATTTCACAACTTTATTTGTAAATATAATATACTATCTATCTTAATTTTAAAAGATAATTTCTCTTTGAACAGTTTAATTTGAGATAAAAGTGTCAAAAGTAATGGAAATCAACTATAATTTCCAATTTAATATTCAGCCAACACATTCCTAGGTCCAATTACCCACATGCTTTTCAGTCTGGCTAGCAATCTTATATCTTGATGTATATTTATTAATTGGCAAATGTTAAAAAAATAAACATACATTTAACTTGCAAAATGAGGAAAAAAGCAGGCAAGAACAAGGCGAAAAAGACATAAACCACAGGCAAGAGTTAAAAAGGCACAGGACTTAATTATCTCTATACTTCTGTATCTCCCAATATAAAAAGTCAGAGAACTTTCCAGAGCCACTGGAAACAATTCTGTGGCAATAGCAGTCAACAAGGGGATCTCCTTTGGTTATTCCACAATTGACTCTTTTATATACACAATAGCACCCGAACGAAGTTGAAAAGAAGGGCCCCTGGTGATTCTCTTTCTATTCTGCGCCTTAAAAAACAGTTTCAATCTTACTTTTCTCCATCCTGCAATTCTTATCCAAAGTTCATTTGAAATGCACAGAGAAGATCACAGTCAAGTTAACTTCCTTATTCATAGGAAATTAGACTCCTTATTTCCTCAGGGTCCTTTATGAATTGCATAGAGACATTTATCAGCTGAATTCCTCTCAGTCAGTTAAGTACAGAAGTTGTATTTATTTAAACATAGAAATAAACACTCAAGAGATAAAGGTAATCTTTAGTGATTACATACCAACATCAATATAGTTTTCTTGTCAGAATAGCAGGTTCAGCTAGCTATCACTTTCATTATAGGCTTTCTTAAATCTTCCTTCAAATAGCATTCTTTTACATTAACAGTCTTTTACATTGCAATATGCTGGCAGTTTTTTCTCTCTTTTCTCAATTTTTCTTTGGTTCTGTATTTGCCTGACTATGTAGGAATTATAAGGAGTATATTATGTTGCATCATGTATACATTTCCTTTAGGTATACTCATGATATATTATTGATACATTTCCTTATCAACTATCATTGTGTATAAAAAATTGATTACATTACATTTTGTATGTTCTTCCTATATTTAAGAGAAAAGCTTTAAACTTTAAGAGCTTTGAGTTTAAATCAATCTGGTTTGATTTTATTAATACAAATATACAATTTATTATTTTCCTCGTAAACTCAGTAAGAGTTGGATCATTGATTCTAGTAATAATTACATTTCAAGGGAATGTGGGAGAACACTATTATAAACATTTGAGATGAGGATTCTGGTTTACTATATTTGAATAGTCAGTAATAGATATTATGTTTCAATTTGTTACTTTTTCCTTCATTATTTATTCTTCATTTTTGCTTTTCTTCCTTGAACTTGAATATAACACAACACATTCAATAAAGTTTCGTTATTTAATTTACTATGAGACCTAAAGGGTAATTGTCTATTTTTACTGACTAGGGACATTTCAAATTGTTTAATGGTTTTGTAATGGAAGCGAATACTCCTGGCACCCGTAACTTTGATTTCTGCTGAGGTTAAATAATGCTAAGTGATCTTCTGAGAACAAGGATATATTTATCCAAAGATATTCCCCCTTGTAATGTACCTGATTCTTGGCAAAGTGTGAAATTTGCAGATTAGTACAAGTATTCTTTCAGACACCCACTTTTCATTTAAGGATAATGGGAAAGAATGAGACATTTTAACTGCAATATTGTAATTGTATTTTTATGATTCATAACATCTAACATCTAACAATGCTAGCAAAATCTGCTAATTCTTCTAATCACCAAAGATCTCAAAGTGTATTTCAGAATTATTTCAAATATTACATGTACAAATAAGAACGTCTTGCCAACCACCTATGGAGGTCGGTATGGAAATAATTAATGAAAATATGCAGGTAGTCCTCAATTTATAACCATTATTAGGACCATACAGTTTCTATTGTTAAGTGATGTTGTCATAAAGCATGATGTCGTGTTACTGCATTATATAAATCTCAGCATTCTGTATCATTAACCAAATTTAACTGGTCACGAGTTGAAGATTCATCCCAATCAAAGCCAATCTCTTGTAAGGTAAGGGGCTGCCTCTTTTTCAACTCCCCCCGCCTATCTCTCCCACCATCTTTGCTCTTTTGAATATCCTGCATCCTGCCTTGCAGAACAGCAAGCTGCACCAGAACAACATATCTCTGGGGCCGTTTGGCACATTGCACCTCTGGGACTACAAGGAACTCCTTAATCATAACACACAGTAAAGCCCTTCACAGTGCAAAAATCAGCCCCTGCCTGGCCTAGCAGTATATCACAAAACCACAGCTGCCTTGTGAAGCTACAGCAATCCCAACCAGTCCCAGTCATAATCACTCTCACTACCCTGCACTCTGAAGTCTCTGCTATCCCAGTTATCATTTGACATTTTCTCGTTCCTGCTAATGAGACATCTACCCTGGCCCTTTGCAAGCTAGAGTACCAGGAGTAACAGATCCCTTGACAGCAGGTTCTGAGATGGTAAATAGAAGGAAGTATAAGATGGTGGTTTATAAATCAGTTCATAGAAACCAGTTTGATAAAATAGTGACAATCAAGTAGGGTTGTAATTCTATATTCCATTTATTCAATCTCCTTCAGCAACATGGAAGAGTCATTTTGGATTAACTGATGTTTATAGATAGTTTTCAAAGAGTTTATATTTGAATAAAATACAATTTACAATAATCTGTTTTAAAAATTACTGTTGAATAAAATATTCATTGCGAGATCTGTTTTAGTAGTTGCATGACAGGAAAAATTAGTAGATGCTTCTTTTCCTGACATAGAGATGTACATAATAAAACCTTCAAGCCTTGCATTTGCTGTCCACCTCTTCATCAATGCAATAAAGATAGGTTGCTAGCAATTCAAGTTTATGTGCTTTAAAAAAAAAGACATTGGCATAAAATTGGGTCTCAGACTAGTGATTTAATAGGCAATAGAACTATTGAAATAATAAATGGGAAAAAGTTGACAAATAATATCTTGTGGAAGAGAAGTGTTTTATTTGTTAGTAAGCATAGACTTTAGGTCATATTTATATTGTACTGCTATAATACAAAATCTGTTGATCAGAGTCTAATTTATCTGTAATGAATTAAATATTTAATTAATATTTAATCACTGGTTAGTTTGATCAAGAACCTATAATATTTTATCATCAGAAAACCCTTTATTCAGCTTTAATATTTCTATTGATCTAGGCTTTTGTTCCTATTGACAAATGTTCTACAGGATTTATTTTATTGTCTAGGACAGGGGTCTTCAAACTTGACAGCTTTAAGACTTGTGGACTTCAACTCCCAGAATCCCTCCTCCAGTCATCTTGCCTAGTTTGAAGACCCTTGGTCTAGGATTTGAGAACATACTTTATAGCAGCACTTTGTGTGTATTTAGGCATTATGTCAGGATCTCCCTCATTGGGGATGGCTGCCCAGTGTGGAATGCCTGCAGGAGCAGTCCCAAGAAAAATGAGAGCCTGCAAGTCACACAAACACACACACACACACACACACACACGAGTGTGAAGTTTGACAGAAACCACCAGCAATTGGAATTATTCTAGCCCAGGTCTGGACTTACATGGTGGAGTAGAGCCTGGAAATACCCACTGAAGGAGTCAAGTTGAGATGCATCACCATGGCCATGAATGGACCATGGATGGCCCAATGGATAGTGACTCTCCACAATGACAACACCCCAGATTGAGAAATCTCAATTGCTTCATGGCCACCCTCTGCAAGATTTCAATAGCAATGTCAGGGACTGCATCAAAGCCATCTGCAAGGGAGGACGGGGGTAAGTACATCCAAGAATTTTATGGCATGCTGACTAACAGATTGGCCACAAGACATCCTCATCAGCTGCTTCAAGGATGCACTGAGTGAGAAAGTCTATAACACTGGTGTCTCCAGAGGCATCCCTCACTCTTCATGGATGGTACATCCTAGTGGAAGAAGTAGAGATCGACCTGGCCTGGAACAACATTGACTGGGACATGGGTGGCAAAAACACTCTCCCCCGCCTGAGAAGCAGGATGCCCCAAAACCACTGATGAGTACCCAAGGTCCACACTAGCACTCAATTGCTTGCTTCAAGTTCAGAAGGGATGGGCACCACATAGCCGAGTACAGAGCTAGCTGCTCAACACAAAAAAGAAAAAACAATCCCTGGGCTGCAAAGAAACCCACCAAGCCACTGTTGCAGATCAGCAAATGGCCCTAGAAGGAGTACAAGTTGTAGAATTCTCTCCACCCGCAAGGAGTGGTGATGGAACTCTGACTAAACTGACTGGGCTCTGACCCCCTAGGTAAGGGGGTCCTTACTCCCTTAGGGGCTCTAGGCCCCATCACCCCAGTAACCATTCCCATAAAATTAGTGGTCCAATCCTCAGGATTCAAAGCAAGCTTGCTAGCCCTCCTGGACCCAGGTGTCAGTGTTCCAACCAAACTCTCCATCTCAATTCAGCACTCAGAGACAAAGTCCATCCAAGTAATAATTTATTAGAGAAGTCATATTGGCACATCTGGGAAAACCCGAATCTGAATTCCCATGTTTCACCTGCTATATTAAACTCATACCCTCTTTTCTGATGACCCTCAAGTCACACTCTCCAATCCACCTCCATTCTGAACTCCTGCCAAGTCCACTTATTCCCCTCCATACTCCAGCGACTCGGCCTTGAGCTCTGGCAAAAGAATGTTGTTGTGGCTATCCTCCCTTCTCACTTTACTTTCATTCCCATGGTTACACATCCTCCCTTTTGGCAGCTCTAAATCTGATTCAAGATGGATAGGAGCTGACAGGCTGCCTCCCCTCAAGCGATAATAACATGCTGAAATGAAACAAGTGACATGGGGTTAGAAATACTGCAACTAACCACCTCTTCCTCCCCCAGTGGCCTCCTTATCGGGAAATATTTAATGAGATTGCTTTACTAATCTATCTGCTTTTACATCCCAACTTTTATCCAAGTGGTTTCAGACAAAGGGTACCCCTTCCATTGAACTAAATATTATAAGTGCATCCTCTATGCAATCTAGAATCAAGAATATTCTTTATCTCATACTGTTCTTCCCCCTGGACCAGTATTGGTTTGGGTGCTGGTCAATCACTGGATCTTACTTGGAAAGTAACAATTGGCTTTAGTAAGTTAATACAGAAAATCAGATGCACTTTCCCCAAAAAGCAAGGGAGACTCACCTGAACAGTTACTGGGTTGATAACTTTCACTATAGGGAATGGGCCTAAGAACTTAGGACCTAGCTTCTTAGGACCCAGCTTCTTTCTTAGCCTAAGATATTTAGTTGACAGGTAAACCCTATCACCCACTTTGAAAGGGGCTTGTGGTGATTGGTGTTGTCTGCTTGACATTTGTATTTCTCAGCTGCCTGGGCAAGAGCACACTTGGTACTCTCCCACCCCTTCCATGATGAGTCCATCTATCCAAGAACATCGAGGTGGTAGGCTCTCTAGGCAGTTCAGGCATTGGCACAAAGTTCATTCCGCTGGTAACCTGGAACAGAGTTAAGCAGGTGCTACTATGGACTCTGTTATTGTAAGCCACATCAGCAAACAACAGCAGCTCAGCCCAATTGTCTTGCTGGTAATCCATGTAACAGCTTAGCTCCACCATTGTGTTGGTTCATTCCGTGGACCCATTCATGCTTGGATGAAAAGCCAAACTCAACCCTTGCAAGGACCCCATAATCATAAGAATTCTCACCAGAACTGCACTCCTCGATCTGAGATAATTCGTCACAGCACTCCATGTAGTCTGTAAATCTGCTTGATGAACATTTTTGCCAGTTTTTTGGTTGAAGGCAATCCAGAACAAGCAGTAAAATGTGCCTGTTTAGAGAAGAGGTCAACTATTGATCAGATAACTGTGTTCCCTCCACTTTCTGGAAATTCTACAATAAAGTCCAACACTATTTCCTCCTGGGGCGGCTGGGATCAGCTGCAGGTTGAACAGACCTGGCAGTTTTCCAGGTCTCATTTTCATTCCTGCACACGTGAAACAGCTTTTGACATAATCTTTCACATAATCTACATCAGCTTTCTTCTTTGGCCATCAGAATTGATGCCATGTCAAGTGGAAGGTTTTTAGGAACCCAGAGTGTCCAGGCAGCTTTGAGTTGCGATAGCGTCTTAGCACTTTCAGTCTTAGGCTGGCAGGGACATACAATTTGGGACCATCCAGGCTAAACCATTCCACATCATCAGGAGATTGGGGTTGTCCTTCAACCATTGGTCTACAGGGTTAGCCGCCTTCAACTCTGCCAAGATTGGATTGGTTGTAGATTCTCCCTGACTCCTGGCTTGACTTCAAGTAATGACTTGCACTGCTGATTGCGATTGAGGCACCACCGTGTGTATCACTTCTCATTTACTGTAAAATTGAAATTTTCTTTATAATGTGTCAGCTAATTTGTTCTTTTCACCTGGGATGTGATTCAGTTCAAAATTGAAGCATTTGAAATACTGTGCTCAGCAGATTTGTTTTGGGGACAGTTTTCAAGGAGTTTTTAGCGTCTCTAAGTTCTTGTGGTCAGTCCAGACTTCAAAAGGCTCTTTCCCCCTTCCAAAAAGTCTCTCCACAAAAGGAGGGCCCAACAAACCATGAAAACCTCCTCCCATATGGACTAATGCCATTCTGCATCAATCAGATTTTTGGACACATAGGTGCAAGGCTGCAGTTCACCCATCAAATTCCTCTGTAGGAGCACAACAATGATGGTGACATCACTGGCTCTGCCTACACTACAAAGAGCTTGTTTGGATTGGGGTGCAATAGAATTGGAACTTTAGAGAAAAGTTCTTTCAGTTTCTCAAATGCTTGCTGGCATTCGAGGGTCCAGTTCAGCAGTTGGTTGGGTTGGGTTTGGGGTCAGACCCTTTTGTTTTCAATAACTCAGTTAATGGCAGTACTGTTTCAGTGAAAGAGGGAATAAACTGACAATAAAAGTTTGCGAACCCCAAGAAACTTTGTAGTAGTTTTTGGATGTGAGGGGGTTGCCAGTCAAGCAGTTTTCATGAAATTCATATTTTGAAAGTTTGACATAAAGTCAGCATTGAGGAGTTTTTTCAACACTTGTCGCACCAGTTTTACATGCTCTTCCATGGTCTCAGTGAAGATGAGAATGACACCTAAGTAAACAAGGACCCCTTTATAGAGATTCTCATGTTGTACCTCATTTATCAGTTCATAAACACTGAGAGGGCTCCTTGATGTCCAAAACACATCACTTTGAACTGAAAACTGCCAAGCGGGCAATTGAATGCAGTTTTCGATTCTCACCTGCTCTTATTTGGACTCGATAGTACGTCTCTCGCATATCTAATTTGGTGAACATCTTGCCTTTTGCCAAATGGTTTAGTAGGTCTTTCATTAGAGGAAGGGGTAGGTGTTTTGTACACAGGCTGCATTTATCCCATGAAAATCAATGCAAAGTCTCAACCCCCTCTCCATCTTTCTTTTCTTTAAACAACACCAGGGCGGTGACTTGTGAATTCGCTGGTTGGATGAATCCTCGGCTAAATTGGAGTCTAGTATTTTCTCAATTCAACCATGTCCCTTGGGGACATTGAGTATATCCTTGTTTTAGGTACTTTTGCCCTGGGAATTAATTCAATGGCACAGTCTGTGGGTCAGTGAGGTGGGAGCGCATTGCATTCATCCTCACTGAACAACGCTGCCAAATCTTGATACTCTTTGGGTATGTGTGGGAAACCTGGGGGTACCTCTTTCCTGGAACCTCCTTTCTCTCTTTGGTTGTTGCCCCTGGTCCTAAAGGCCATTTGCTTTTGGACGGAAGGACGGGAGGTTCAGGGTCCTATTCCTATCCTTATCTTACAGTAGCCATCTTCCCAAGTGATGATAGGAGCCCACTTGTCTAGTCAAACCAACTTGAGAATGAATGACTCTGTCATTTTTGGAACAATCACAAATCATATCATCTCTCAATGTCACCCTATCTCCAACCTTACAGATTTAGTGACTGAAGTTCTGGGTTCCTCCCTGATCAGGGAACCATCTACTTATTCAAAATGGATAGGATGGCTCAGGGGTGTGGTTTTTATCCCTAACTTTTGAACCGTCTGGGGCCTGATTAGGCATTGGGTGTGTTCTGACCTAGGCTTCCTTAGAAAGTATAAAATACAGTCGTAGTCCCGGCAAAAACTCTTTTATTTCGATGGTTGTGAGTTACATTCATGCACAACCTGCAAGGCTTCACAGTCTTTCAGGGAAATGTTTATAACACCCACCTTATCACACTTGGAATGCTGCCAGATAACTAATTGCCAAATGCAGGGCAAGGCCATACTTGACACATAGTCAAACAGAACTTTTCAAAATTGATTTGACCAGATGAACTAATTGCTTCCTGCAAAAGCTTATGTCTCGTTCACTCCTCTTTTATGTCCTATGGGAGGGCCCAATCATCTCCAAAGTGTGGCCTTACTCCTGAGTCAACCCTGCTTTCTCAATTGTTCTTTTCTTTTGGTAGCCCTGTGCATGCTCAGGCTGGAAACTGGTTCCAGACATTCCTCTGCCTCATTGCTGTCTGAGTCTGAAGGCAGCTGATGACTTCCAGCCTGTCCTGGCCCCATCCCTGTCTCTGATGTAGAGCCCTCATCCAAGCCCTCCTCAGCCTCCAAGACTGGCCAAAGTTCTTTTGAGTAGTCCTGCAGTGGGGGTTGATATCTAAGTCCATTGCAATCACCACCCAGCACCAATCCTGGATTTGGTTTGGAACACTTCTGATCGAGCACACCTTCCTCAGCTCTGGGTCCAATGCCTCTTTGAAGTAATGGACAAAGAGCCTTTTGGGCCAACCTTGCAGACTTCAGGCTACTCTTCTAAATTCCCACACCAGCTGTTTAGGTGGGCAACCATGTTGTTTTAGTCCCTTAATTTCTGCTTCAGCCACTTACCAGTTTGCCAGGTCTTCGAACCATGCTCTCAAAGATCGCACAAATTCATCCACATCTCCTAACTCAGGAGCTCCTTCATTGTGGAGTTGGGTGATCCACTTGGATGCTTCCCCTTTCTTCATGTTATCTGAAATGGATGTGGGGGTGCAGAATTTCCTTTTACCCCTCATCTCTTATCCAGATTAATATTCTTATTCATTTTCATTTTAATAAAAAACAATAATCATATTAATCATATTCATTACATTCATCAAGCTAATGTAGTTCTAATATTAATACACCTATTTATGTTAAGTTATGCTTTTCCATTATTTAGTTATTCAATGTTTCAATATATTCTTCCAGTGCCAATCACAATATTATTTAAATATAAATAATAACACCATTCAATCTCTAATTTTTCCACCTTATTATTACTTTTATTTTATTATAAAGCGTATTGTATTATAAAGTGTATATATTCCCCATTTTCTTGTATCTCTATTCTAACTTCTAATTAACCCTTATATTAAAAGACATTTCCTTTGCAACCATAACATCTTATCTGTATTAATATTTTAATTCTTATTCATTTTTTGACTTGCTTCCCATATTCCTCTCCTAGATCTTTGTTTCTGTCACATCCACATCCTGCCTATTCAATCTAAATATTCCTCCCATCTCTACCCTCTTCCACTGTCTAGTTTTCAAAGTATCTACCCATGCCCCTATCCAGGGGTGGCCATGGTGGGCGTGGCCTAACAGAACTTCTGAAAGGTCTGTTTCTGGACTTCTGGAACTTCAGGGAGGG